CGCCTGGCCAGAAAAACTCGCGCCTCGCAAGCGTGACGTACCTCGCTACCTCCAGCGCGGCATATTTAAATTGTCTTGTCACATACCCTCTGCTCCCTGACATAGAGAACAAATAAAGCAGGTGACAGATTCCAACTATTTCATTTCTTTGGAAGTGTTTGAAGCGGACGATTCAGGCGGATACAAAGAGATTCTCGCGTAATTTCAGGAAAAAAATTCAAATCGTTACAGTATCCCTGAGCCGATGTTTCACGAACGTCTTGTTGGGGATAACGCGCTCGATTCGCCGTCTAATGCCGGTAAGGCTACTGCACTTCGAATGCCGGTTGCTGAATAACTGGGCGAGCGAATTGAGGACGATGCTCCATTAACTTCCTGTAATGACCCTCACCGGGTTCTGTGGACGATGACCCCAGATATAACCCGTTCGAAAATTAGTGTCTTCTTCGTGGAGTTCCTGTGTGGGGTATTTCTTTCCACCTAATTCAAATTTCAGCGTCAAATTTACGGGGGTATAATAGATGTGGTAACAGGAATCGCCGTAAATTCGCGAAGAAAGGGTAAAAAAAGAAACCTTGAAGCTGCCAGCAGGACTTCCAGGATCATGTGTGGAACATGTTAGAGTAATTGTTCCACCAACGTTCACATTTAGCCTCGGTGGAGATATATCAGCATGCCCTGGAGGTCGTTGTACCTGCAAGCATTCAGCTTTTCGAAAAATTTTTCAAAACTGGGGAAAATCCTAAGAAACTGTTTGTACAGCTTACGTCAACTATCGTTGTAGCCGTTCCAGTTCGAGTCTGTGAGCCTGTTTCGCCATATATGCTGAGATAATTTGTGGCTGTGCACGTATAATTACCGGTCTGCTCCCTGAACAAGAGGTATACTTGTGGGGTAGTCACAACCACTTCTTTCCTCAGTCGTATTTTTCTAGCGCAAAATTTGAGCGCTAGGCAAGCTCATCGATACGTTCTTAAACAAATCCGCTCGAAAACCGCTTTCAGAGTGACCTCGAAAGGACCCCTGCTGTTTGTGAAGTTTCTCGCGGGCTACTCGAACCAGACCAATTATAGGACCATCTTCACGTTCATTCACATACGTGTGCAGATCTACCGATTATCCAACTATTATTATCTCGCTTCAGTGCAAATCGTGCGCTTTACCCTTGAACGGACAGGTCCAACAGCGGAGTCTTTCGCTGAAAGTCTGTTACCGGTAAGTAGACAATAGAATTCCGCAACATACCTGGAGACACTCTTCAATACAAGGAGTGGGCCATCAGAAAGAAACCCTTGAGGGCCACTCCATTTCACATCCACCGCCTGAGGATTCGCATCTACAGAGCATTCAATCTGTACCCGTTCTCCTTCTCTTGGATTGTATCGCGACTGAAAAAATAATAGTTGAAGCCTTCACTAGGAACTGGAACTTGTGGGAGCTGTTCAGGGCATCGCGCCAGCTAGTTTACTTGACACACTACAGCATTGCTAGGTTGAATCCTTTGGGATCGAATCGAAGGATCGAAGATCACGCATGTGACATCATTTTTGCAGGGCGTGTTTCACGGATGTCCTGAACCACACTTGAAGCTAAGGGACAAGTATTTTACCTTGGTCACAACCACAGGAGCATACTGCACATTCAGAGTGAGAATTGCACTTCCTTCTCCGACGCTGTTGGCTGCGCGACATTCAAAATCGCCGCTCATATTCCGACTAGCGGTAATTGTCCATTTAGAAGCAGCATAGACCTCACCAAGAGCCAAATGCCTCCTAGAAAGCGATTGATTGAGAAAGAAGTCTACCAGGATACTGAAAAACTGCCTCGTAGTGACACCGTCGGGGATTGCCAGGTGGGCGGAGCAGAGATACGACATCATTGGTGCGTTCCTCCACGGAAAGGCGGAGTAAGGAGAGACGTACCAATGAGTTTATTACCTGGCCCTGCCCATTTGGCAATTTGGGACGGTGCCTTCAACGACGCGCAAATTTGCCGCTCGCTATGTGCGATAAAATTGTGCGACAACTCGTTTTCACGAATTGCCGCACATCTTTGACGCGCAGCAAATACAACCCTGGAAACGCACCATTCATAACTTGGAGGATAGGGGTTAGAATCCGCATCGCAGACGAGATCAACATGATGACCAGCTTCGACCGCTATATCTTGATCGGGGGAAACTCGCACACGAGGTTTGAAGAGTACCTGAAAAAGTCACCGCTGTAATTACCATAATTAGCGGTGGCCAACGGTTTGACACCTACATTCAATCTCGGTGACCGGGCCTCCTTTGGTTGTTCAGATCGTAATGGCTTTGTTTGTTACACTACACACAACATAGGCACCATTATCTTCAGATCGAACACGAAAACTGTAAAAACAGCAGATAATTAGGCTTGAAGACTTCGTCATGAATAAATGGATGAAAATTTAAAGAGACGGACTGTAAAGTGCTTTCCGAATTGGCGCCTTTGAGCAGGGTGTTCACATTTCGTTCGTCAGCAGTGCTACCGTTCAAGAAAGTCCAGCTGAAACGGGGCAGAACTGTGAAAAATGAATATTAGTATGCGAAGAAAAGGAGCCTCACCTTATCGTTGGAGGAGGACTTCCACCAGATGACGCGCACTTGAATGTGACGCTATCACCAGCTGTTACAGCTTGCGATGGGGATTCTGTGATGACCGGATCAGAAGGAGGTACTAAAAGAATTTGTAGTAATTGAGACGTCTTTGGAGAAAATCTACTTTTTCGCACATGACCCATATTTATGTCAGTAGAGCGCAGTAGGAAAAGGTCGGAACAAGAAGACGCCGCCCGCTGATGCCTTGCTCTTCATTTTGTCAGACCCACACCAGTTGTCAGTCTGCCTTGTCTGCTGCTACTTACAACGTAAAAAAACAGTAGCTAGTACCGAAGATTTCTGTACTGAAAATTAGTCCAGCCCTGTGTGTGACACGTGTCAGGGGCATTTCTAGACGTACTAAGTTATCCGACCCACCAGAACCTGATGCCCTTCCCTTTGACCGGTTACCACTTAAACGATTACGTCAAACAGAGTAAGGCCCCCGCGACGGGAAGTCTCATCGGTTTCACCACAAACGAGGCCATGCCCAAGTATTACATGAGTACAAAGGCGCGAGTGAAACTTTCAATCGTGCACTGTCAGAATGATGCGCACGAAATGCGCACGTGCTTTCAGCGCTCTAGTGAAAACTGAACTTGAAGGGGCAGGGGTAGTCAAGAGACTTTGGAATTTTATGTCCATGAATCACATCTGGTCTGATGTGTTTAGTGCTAACAATTTTGGGGAGGTGGAGGGGGGGGCGTTTAAAGGGTTTTAGGGGAAAACTAAGATTACTGTGACAGAATGGATTTTCCGATGCCTAAACTGTCTCAGGGTTAGGAGAACCAATCCCAAGTATGGAACTATTCGGTGCATGTCCTGGCTTTTGAGGAATTTACTGCAAAATACGACCTCCTTGAGTCTTCAGAAACTTCCTCCTCTGCTACGACCCCCGCTCCCATCTCCCACCCTACCTACCATCTTTCTCAAGTTCCCCAACTTACTGCCCTCTTTCGCCAGTTCAAAAATGAGGTTCTCATGTTTTACTCAAAAAAAACTGCCATAGAGCGGGGAGGGGAAAGGGTATACAGCGCACTCGAAATAGGAAAAATCGAAAAAAAATCAGCAACAAAATACATTTTCTTCAAAGTCAAATACGATCCCTTCCATCCCAGTATGGCGTGCACCGATTCTACTCGGATGTCGTTGATTCCATTCCAATGCCGCACAGAGCGCTCTTCAAATGCGCCTCCCCCGCTTCCCCTCACTCCCAGAAAAATATTGGAGAGATTATTTGAAAAACAGCGATGCGCAGGGCACATCGTTGTTGGGGAATCCCCAATAGGGGGGGGTCGTATTTGGCCGCCAGGAGAGGGGGGTCGTATTTGGGCTGAGAAAAATTTATTTTGATAGTTGATTTTTCTCGCTTCACGGACGTTGTAAAGGGAGGGGGGGGTCGTATTTACTTTCTTGGCCTTTCT